GAGGGTACATATGTACCTCAATGAGAAAAAACTTTATATCCTCACAAAACAAAAAGGATTAAGGTAAAAGAAAACTATTTACAATAATAAGAGCATTCAGTATATTGAATGAATACAAGAAAAGTACATGTGATCAGAGCTTCCTTAGGCAACAATAAATATAGTAAAAACAGTTTAAACTCATGACAAAAACATACAAAATTCACACAAATATTAACTAGAAATAATCTTAACGAAATTGTGTAAGACCTCCAAGAATAAAACTATAAAATTCTATTGATAGTTACAAATGAAAAAATAGCAAATATAGAGATGAACTAAGTATTTTAAAATAAAGAGTAAATTCTTTGAAGATGAAAATGTTTCTGTAATTTATTAATGAGTTTAACATAATCCCAATGGGGCTTTTCAAATTTGACAAAATTATTTAAATTTCATCTCAAGGAATCAATAGATAAGAATAGCAAGTAATTTTAAAATATATTAAAACATTATATTAAAATAGTACTATTAGTAAAAGAATAAATAGTTCAATTGAGCCAAATAGTTTAGAAACAATAACTTTTATATATTAAAATCTTTTAATATATGATAATGTAGGCTGACAAAAAAACAATGAAAAATAGAATTTCCATTTAATAGTTTATATTAGGACAAGTGCTTAACTATCTAGAAACAAAATCAAGTGAAATCCAAAATAAAATTTCAAAGAGCATAAAAGAGTCCAATGTAAACTAACAAAACTCCATAAACTTATGAAGTGCAATTTTATGACATCTCCAGAGGAGAAACAACTTTCTAATCTGAGATCCAATGAAAGAAAATGAGTGATGGACTGACTACTAAAATTGTTAAATTATTTGTGTGCCAATAAAATGTAATGGCAAACATCAAACTGACAAAACATATCTGACACTGATGACATATATTGATATATACATACATATATATATTTAAGAAAAACAGTAAAATTCAAGTGATTAAATGAAAATATCACACAATTACACAATCTAAAAATGAAGAAATACAATAGTTTAACAACTAATTAAAGACACTCAATTACCAATCAGAAGTATAAAAAATAATAAACAGGTATAAATATAAAATAATGAGACATCAAATTTCAAGGTTCTTTTTTAACAAAAATATGAATTTGTAGGAAGGGTGCAGTGAAATAAACACTCTCATCCATTACTATTGAGCTTATAAATTGGAATAACCATGTAAGAAATTATTTGATGACCATAGTAAAGAATCCTCAACTGTTCATGTTTTCTGACCTAGAAATTGTACACTTGGCCGGGGATTTAGCTCAGTGGCTCAGGTGTTTGCCTGGTAAGCACAAGGTCGTGAGTTCGATCCCTGAACCAAAAAAAAAATCACTTAAGAATTCTATACTTGGAAATTACATAAGGAAACTATCGCAATACAAAAAAAAATTATTGATGGAAATATTAATCATGATAGAATTTATATTTTTTAAATGGGATAAGATATAGTAATACATGCCTGTATTCCCAACACTTGGGAGGCTGAGGCAGAAAAGTCACAAGGTTAAGGCCAGATTGGGCTACATAGCGAGTCTCAGAGCATCCTGAAGTGCAGAGCAAGATCCTATCTCTAAGAAAAAAAGTGGAATGATTCAAATGTCAAAATCTGGGTAACTGGCTAAGAAAAATATGGCATATACACTAGCTACCTGAAACATGATGTAGTCATTAAAAATAATATATTAAAATCATTATAAGAACATTATATATGAGTGGGGATTGTTCATGCTAAGCGGGATATGCACTAGAACACAGTGTCATAAAAACACATGTATGGTCATAAAGCAATTCATTTTATTAAAATTTTGAAAAAAAATCTACATAATTTTCAGTAATAGTTGTCTTTAGGATATAAGACTCTTTAAAATTTTTCCACTGTTCCATGGTCTACGTTTTTCAAATTTTCTGTCAGTATATATAATGAACCATGTCAATAGACTTATACAAAAATATAGATTTTGGGGGGAGAAAATAATTAGAAGCAAAATATCACTTTAAGTGAAGATGAGCAATCATATAAATAGACTTTTTTGTGCTTTCTGAGATTGTGTTTTTTTAAAACTGAACAGAAAAAGGGTGATAAGAAACAGCCAAGATTGTGGATTCAGAACTTGACAAAGAGGCAAGCATATTTTGAAAGTGCAATTTAAAATATATTTTGAAATGTATATGGAATGTGTTATCCCCACAATAAAATTACAGAAACTGAATTTCAACCAAACCGTCTTGGTTAATGGGAATAGACAAAAAACAGAGAGCATTCTAAATAACCTGTGCAATCAATGCAGGTTTGTTAGCAATCTCTTATTATTCATGCGTATATAGCACCATTTTACATTGTTAGTTTTACTGTATGTCATAGGCATAATTGTTTTGGTTTGAAACGAATACTGTCGTTGTAAAATAAAATTTGATTTTATAAGAGGGAATGAAATGTTTTTCAACAGGGACACTCAAGTCTAAAAGGCTGAGAAACAGTGATGAAAGGGAATCTTATCCTCCCTCACAACCAGTCTGGCTATCACCCTAAAGTCACATAAGACTCTGAAGTCTCCATGTACCATTCAAGAGGCACAATAGGGGAACTCCCAACTTACCCAACTTTTTTTCTGCTACTTTGTGAGGAGATTTTCAAAGAGAACTAAGAATCATGAAAACTGCATTTATGCAAGATTCACTTTGGGTAGAAACAAATGCTTGAGAATTTCCAACCTGCCTAAATTAATTTCATATGTAATTCTAGCTTACTTGGCTAAAAGCTAAAGGTCTTCTCACTTCCATATTTCACCTATAGCTATCTTTTGCATGAGGCAAAACATCAATTAGTATTTCTGTTTTATAAATACAGATACTGAGGCCTAGAGAATTTGAGGGGCTTCCCCAGAATACACACTCTTTGCTTCCTAGTATCTATCAGTCCAATACTCTTTACAGTTAAAAGGAAAACAGACTATGCCTTATCAGCTCATTCATTTATTTCCAAAGTATTTTCTCAGGGCCAATTATGTACTCAGCTATATTCCTGGTACCAGAGGTAATGTCTTTGCTCTCATGGAGACTAAATGTTTGCAGAAAAGCCCAAAAGTATGTAAGGAAGCAAACAAATATCAGAGCACTTAGCTCTTTGAACCAGAGTGTGACAGCAACAAGGAGAGGTGCTTACTCTAGACAGAGTGATCAAGGAAGTCCTCTGTGAGGGAAGAGCCAGTGGAACAAATACATGAATCAACTGTGTGATCAGCAGACGAATGAGAAATGTAAAGTCCCAAGCGAGGAGCACGCTTGGAAAGCTTGCAAAATGTCCAGGTGCTCAGTGAGGCAGAAGTGCTCAGTGTACCTCACCATATATTTTCTTCTGCCATCTCTCCCGCTCATGCTTCTTTTGAACCTTAAATTTTACCTCTAAGTTAAGAAACACTTTCCTCCTTTGTCAGGTGGCCTATAAAGCAGTCATTTCTCCATCTTCTGTTGATAAGAACACCTAGGAATCCTAGTGGGTTTCCCTGTCTTTCCCAGGATTCAACTCAGGAAAAACAATCACATAAGACCAGAGCCCAAGGGTTCAACAGCATCTGCTTATGGACTTTGAATCCTTTAAGAGAAATATATTTAGCATGACCAAAGAATTGCCACAAACAAGGCTTGACCATTTGCAAAAATCAATATACAATGAAAATCCTCTAACATCATCCTCAGTACAATCTTTCTTCATTGACTCAGTAAGTATTTGAAAATCTTGCAGGTACTGAACTCACTACGAAGCATTTTCCTTTGTTTTGTTTCCACCTAGAAACTACTGCGCAGGACTATTTACATGTGTTTTGTTCCTGCTGACAACAGTGTTTGCGCTAGGTCTTTCCTTAGAAATGTCCCCAAGATTACGAAAAGAAATCAATTTAAAAGAATATAATAATAATACCAATAGTTTACAATTACCTAACATTTACTGTATCTCAAATCCAGTGCTTATTTTCTTATATATTATGGCATTTACTTCTTACAATTCTATAACACAGATTATAATGTGATACTCATTTAATAAATGATTAAAGGACTATGAAATTAATCTGCTGAGGTTACAAGCCTCACATCTGACTAGCATCTGACTAATTCTCAGATCTGCCTGCCTCTGAAACCCTGCAGCAAAGATGCAGGTGCATCTGATTAAAAAAAAGGGGCGACAGGTTGAGACATGGCTAGATAAAAAAGCAAAACTGAATCATAACAAGGGTGTTTTCCCCCTCTGCTCTTTACAACTGTTGATAGTCCTAGCTTTTATTTAAAAAAAAAAAAAGAATCCTATTTCTGAAGTCTCCAATCTCCCACACAGCTTCTTGAAAGGAAACTAAACAATCAGATCCAGCAAGATAGTTTTACTCATACACATATCTTTCCTCTCTGCATGCTGACCTAATTGGTACTGCATTCTTAAAGTAATGGACGCTGTTTCTTAAGGCTGCCTGCCTCTTCTTACTGAACTAGATGTACTTTCTTTGGCATGATATTTTCAAAACCATTTATAGGGAGGTAGAAAGAAATTTTTCCTTCCCTGGGGTGCGTCTGATGGTCCCGAGACTGAACAGTGGGCCACTCCAGGATTCCACCCTCCTTGTCCCTACTAGAGGAAGTCTGGAACCCAGAGTTCACTCTGATCCACTCTAGGCCACATTTTCCCATCCCAAAGGACATTCAACACAGCTGTCACAAAAGATCACGGTGATGACCTTCTGGAGACCACACGGCCCTGAGGATAAAACCCCACTGAGAAACGTCGGCCAAAACATGTTCCACCACAGCCTTGGGCTGAACCAGAGGAAGCTTTGGATCCACAAGGCAGGCCATGGAGCAGGCCCAAAAAGCTCAGCCTCAACTGTCTGTGACCACCACACACACCTTTGACAGGCTTAGGCCTGTCATGCAGCCAGTCCACTACCACCGCTATGTACTCACAGCACACACAGGCAGTACACGCCCGGAACACTCTCGCTGTCCCTCAGCAAATAGCTGCCGTCCAACCCTGTCGCGAGCAGGAGCTTCTCTCCGGTCTCTCTGCTGATTTTACCGTGATACACAGCCACTGTATCCATGGCCTGGTTGATTCCCAGTGGCTGAGGTGAAGGATTATAAAAGGGAGATGTCACCGCCGCAGACTGCCTCTGCCAGGAACGAGTGAACCACCTGACTCCAGTTCAGCCAGATGTGCAAAATGAGATGAGAGCCCAAACAACAGGATGTTGCCTACCTGCTTTAAACCTCCCTCTCAAATTTCAATTAAGAGCAGCTCAGTAACTTAACAGCTGGATTCTAACAAGCTTGTCAGAGTTTGATCTAGCTTTCCAATACAAGATTCTTACAGGCAGGAGAGGAACACTGGAAGAAAGACCTCTGCAACTTTTGGGCTGTACTGCCAGTGTAGACCTTGCATACTAACAAGAGTGCTTGGTAACGTTTCTGTCCTTGCATGTTCCTTCAGAGCTGCCAGAGATGACTTAGCTGAACTAGTTTCCGAAGGGGTTGACAATACAGACATGTCATCATGTGGGAAAGAGACAAACTGATAAAATGGAAAGACCAAAAGTTCTAAAATCAAAACACTCAAAGTAAATCACTAATGAACATGACCATGAAGCTTCTGTAAATCAGAAGTAATAGGAAAACAATGAATTTAGGCAAGTTTTTCCTCTCCCTCCTGCTCCTTCTCCTACCTCATGTGGTCATCTTGAACAATCTATGTGTATTTGTGTGTGTGTGTGTGTGTGTTGCTACGAATGGAATGCAGGGTATTTCACATGCTAGATAAGTGCTCTACTACTGAGCGATAGAACAGTACTGCTTGAACAATCCTGGTACTGAGCAAATATTAAGGTTTTTTTCTGACAGTTTTTCAAAGATCTCAAAGTACTGGTTTAAGTGCAAAAATCACAATAAATGTGAAAGATGTTCCAGATTTACCTCTTTGGAAGTTCTTAGATGAGAGACCAAATAATTTAATTGGTGTTTGATCTTTATGGGACTTTGTATGTATATACAGGGCTCAGCTTTCAGCATTTTGACTATAAAATCTATTTCAACTCATCTTTCTAGTGTTGATAATTATGTTACAATTTTTATTCATGTCATTTCTTGAAATTATTTCTTGTACAGTTAATGCTGAACTTTCATTAATTTAAAAAGAAATCTTTAAACTTGCATTTTTTCCTGAAACAAAGTGTATCTATCTCAAAAAAGGCTAAATCATACTTCTCCCAAACCTCCTCCATTGTCACTAAAATAGAATTTTTAATACCTGAAGCCTAATGATACCATGTGATTTTTGTTTATGCAAAATACTTTATAAATTAGAGTTTAAATAGCTAAGTCTATGTTGTTGATTATATTTCTTCCACAGCTTCAGTGCCCAGTTTCCTGAGACTATTACAAGTCTGGTATCTCAATAGGGAGAATGATTTTAAATCCTCAGTGGACACAGCTGATTTCCAACAAAGGCAGGTATTTCTCTCTACCCACTGGGATTACAAACAGGCACCTAAGATTTTTTTGGTAGCCAATAACAATTCTCGTATATTGAAGAGTGCCCAGCTTTAATAGACAAATGGTAAGCACAAACCTCTTACAGTTATTTTCAACACTAAGAATATCTTTTTTAAAAAAGAGCATTTGAGATGACATTTGAGGATGACTCTAGGGACTGTGCGAAGATTGTCTCATCATCTTTCTATTTCACATATGTTTGACCAACTCGCTCTCTCACCATTTTTCATACTTTGGGTCAAAGAAGAAATTGATCTGATACAGGAATACAGTATTAAGGGCTGGAGACACTAGGCCACTGTGGATGCTGCATTTTAAGTAAGCAATGGTTAGCCCAGTGGGGTCAGATATCTGCTAAATAGAGCAGAGAAGACCATCCTCTCACATTAGTCTGTAGAAGCAACATCCCACTTGTCAGTTGAATTGTGAGAGCTTCCAGTGTTTCATAGGTTAAATAAAAACTAATCTTTTTGTCTCTGAACAACTCTGAACAAATGATCCACAAACTTAAGAACATAGAAACCAGATCTGACAGCATGAGTGTACCATGCATTCTTTTTTTGTTTTGTTCTATGTTCCTAAAATAGCACACCTGTCAAAGCATCCAGGTACAGTGGGGTTCAGTACAACTAAAATTGTACATAAAAAAGAACAGATAAATTATAAGGTAATAGTACAACTCTCACATCTAATACCTCACTGTCATTTCGTAAGTAAGCTGACAGCTGAACCAGCCCACTAGTGCAGTGTTGATGAAAAACACTGACATCTTCACTCTAGTGCTGTACCAGTACTAAACCTGACTTTAGCAAATTCAAAACTTCATGCTGAGCTTGAAGTATAAAAAAAGGAATTGAAATGATTCTTTTTACTGTCTCTCCAAAAACTTGTGAGAGCAGGATGAGACAGACAGCAATGTAGAAAGAGAAAAAGAATGAGCTCTAAGAGTAAGTATAAACCGCTTAGAAGAAGAATAATCTAATTAATTATTTACTCTCTGTCTCCTTCACTTCGATTTAAGGTCCATAACAGCAAACATTTGTGTTACCTTTGTGTTGCTGTGATAAAATACATGCAAAATCAATTCAAAAGAAGAAAGGTTTTTGGCTGACAATTTCAATCCATGGTCATTTGGCCCCATCTCTTTGAGCGTGAGATAATGCCAGAATTCATGGCAGAGAGTACGTGGTTGAGCATAACTTCTCACTTCACAGCATCAGAAAGCAGAGAGTGAGGAACAGAGTGAAAGAGTGTGTCCTGGGACAAATATTCCCTTCAAAGACCTTCCTCCAGTGACCTACCTCTTCAACTAGACCCTATTTCCTAAAGTTTCTGCTTGTCCAAACATCACTAGTTGGAGCCCAAGCCTCCTACACATGAACCTTTTGGAGACATTGCAGATCCAAACTATAACATTCTATCTTTGGACCCCAAAAGTTCTTATCCATATCACAGTGTGAGTTACATTCAGTCCGTTTTCAAAAGCCTCCATAAGTTTAAAAGTTCCAGAATTACACAAAAGTCCAAGGCCAATGTTTCCTCTGAGACTCAGAGCCAACTCTTACCTGCAAGTCTCTGCAAAACTGAAACAAGTGACACACCTCCAGCACACAATGACGGAACAAGATAAATATTGTCATCTGAACTGTAAGAATAGGAAACTAGCAAGAAGTAATCAGACCAAAGCAAGGCTGAAGCCAATTAAGGGAAGCTTTAACTCTTGTAGCTCCATGTCTGGCATCCAGACTTATAATGTCAAGATGTGAGCTCCATGGGGCTTAGGTTTTAGCTAGATTTACATTGAAAATCACAGGGGGAAAAAAGAGCAGAGAAGAAAGATTTGAAAAACTTGCAGTTTAGATAAAAAGCTGTGTTAAAAATAGGGCTGCTGAGGTGGTTAGCACCACTGACAAGAAGCCAAGTACTCTGTGCCTGGACAGTGCAATAGATGTGATAGCCCACATGGCCTCTCTTTTGATCTAGATCTGTTTGCTGCCTAGTTTTCCTTTGCAGATCTTCCACATTCCTGGCATCTCTGATTTCCTGCGTTTCCATGGCAGCTTCAGCTTCACTGTCACAGCTTCATGCACGGCCCTTTCAGAGTCAGCCCACTGGGACTCTGACCCTGTCATACACCATCTGACCTCCCCACCCTTTGAAACCTTAGTGGCAGGCTCCCTGTCCCTGTAACTTCTGCATTCTGCATGCATGCAAACTCAGTATTGCATGGACAATGCCAAGGTTTGCCACGGTTTAGGCAGTGGATAGGCCCCTTTGGACCAGGAATGCAGTGGTCTCTGAGTGCCTGGATGACAGAGGATGATGAGACTAATCCTGGGGAATCAACTTCTTAGATGGGCCTGTGCAAGCAGGGCACTCCAACACTCTGAAACAGTCTTTCAAATAACATTATACTCTATACTCATTACATTTGTGCATCCTTAAGCCAGTGTGGGTGGGGTCTTGCTAATTCCTAAAATGCCTAGAAAGCACCTTTCCTTTTATCCAAATACAAAGTACTTGTCTTCTAGATAGTGATGCTAATCTCTTCAGCAACCACACTTTTCTTGACCTCAATTACAGTTTTTTATCTGTTCAAAATTAATGTTTTTCCAATCTCTTGCTGTGCTCTTTGCTCATCAAATTCACTATAAATCTGGCTACAAACAACCAGTAATGCTATGCCACTTCCTGAATACTGTACTCCTTTGCAATTTTCTTCACCAGACAAACTAGTATATTACTTTTAAATTTAGACTTTTATAAAATCTCAGAGTGTGGGGAAAATGTAGATAAATTCTTTTCCAGACTGTAACATGCAAGCCACCTAATTTAATTCCTAATGGAATCTTCATTTCCATCTGAAATCAGATGCGCGTGAGCTTTATTGTCTGCATTTCTATTAGCATGTTGGTCTTTCTAGCTCTGACCAGAACTGTCCATAAAGCTTTTGCTTACAACACTCTAGGATTCTCTAGCTGGCATCATCAAACCTTTCCAACCTTCTCCCACAAACCAAGTGAACCACATTGTCTGAATCACATTGTCAAGTACAGTCACAGCTATAACCCCACTTATTAGCACTAATTTTTTAGTCAGCTTCCCATCACTGTGATTCACTGTGATAAAATACGTGAGAAAATCAACTTAAATGTGGCAAGATTTATTTGGGCTCACATTTTCAGAGATTGCAGTTTATGACTGTTTTATTGAAACCCCATTGCCTTGGACATGAGACAAGGCCAAACATCATGGGAGAGAGCACATAGGGAGAGGAGAATGAGAGAGACAGACAGACAGACAGACAAACACACAGTCCAGGGACAAAATGTTCCTTTTAAAGGCATGTCTCTAGTGACGTACTTTTTTTCCAACTAGGCCTTTTAAAGCTTCTGCCACCTCTAAATAGCTCCATGGACTTGGAACCAAGTTTTCAACAATGGAGTTTTTGGGAGACATTCCAGTTCCATATTATACCTTTATTCACAAATTTTCTTTAGTGTCTACCATATAATAGATGTTAAATACATTTTTGAGTGAATGAAATAAACACCCAAGAAAATAACAATAACACATAAATATTGTATATTGGTTCTATGTGCCTGCCTCTGGCCCACCTTTGACACAGCAAGATGAATTGGAAGGAGCAGAAATTATGAGATTATTCTCTGTTTTAACACTAAATCCCTTC